CTTGCTGTCTGTGGAAGATGAACAATCGGATTAATCAAGTGGTCAAAGCTCATTTGCAAATTTTTCTTTGAAGGGAACAAATCATGTTCTTTGAAGGGAACAAATAATTTTCTAAGTGACTAAGGGATTTTTCAGCCTGTTCACATATTTTGTTATATGAAAATAAAGGCATCTGAGTAGGGCTGAGGTAGAGGTGAGTCGTAACTCAGATGGAAGGCAGAAAGTGGCGTGTCCCTTGTAACTGCTACAGTCAAGCATCAGATATCATGGTTGTGATTGAGGGTGCACAGTGTGTGAGAGTCAAGCATGGTTGTGATTGAGGGTGCACAGTGTGTGAGAGTCAAGCATGGTTGTGATTGATTGGGGTGCACAGTGTGTGAGAGTCAAGCATAGTTGTGATTGAGGGTGCACAGTGTGTGAGAGTCAAGCATGGTTGTGATTGAGGGTGCACAGTGTGTGAGAGTCAAGCATGGTTGTGATTGAGGGTGCACAGTGTGTGAGAGTCAAGCATGGTTGTGATTGAGGGTGCACAGTGTGTGAGAGTCAAGCATGGTTGTGATTGAGGGTGCACAGTTTGTGAGAGTCAAGCATGGTTGTGATTGAGGGTGCACAGTGTGCGAGTGTCAAGCATAGGTCTGATTTAGACAAGATCCTCCTTCAATAGTCTGTGTTGCTGTGACATTTGGAAGCTTGAGGGTGAATGAAAAAACACTGATTAGAGGCACTTGTTGGTGATGAAATTACCTTGAGGGAATCGGTATAGGATGGATAAGAAAAAAATCACCTACTCACATTTGTAGCTCACAAGGTGCTGTATGATTAGCCTGTGTTGCAACTACTGCGTAGCAAACATCCGGCAAGGGCGTGCTAACTACCACTGGGTTTAATGTCGGAACAAAGACATGAACTGATGGGCAGTCGCGTGCTTTATAATAACGTGAAATTATATCATTTGATGGACTTGTTACCGTGATGCTTCAAAATAAAATACATTACTTACAATTGTATGATTTTTGATGTTTGAAAAACATTTTACATCACAGTCAGATCCCAGGTCATGTTCAGAACTAGAAACTGAAGATTCTTAGAACCAAGATAAGAACTCTGATCAACTGTAACAGTCGGCTAAAGTTTATTCATATCTCAATACATATGGAGTTGAAAAGAATTCTGTATTGAAATTTAAGCAAATATTTTGCCCAGAATTGGCCTTCAAAGTATTAGCTATACTCCAACTGTTGAACTTTCAGTCAAGTAAATAACACTACAATCACAATGCGTCTTCCACTAAACCACTTATAATTAATAATTGTGAACTCCTTGAACAACTCTGATATGGCTGCATTATGAAAAATTCATCTTAATTATATTTAATATCTATGTAGGAGTATTTACGTATCATTGTGGATAAATGTGTTTCAAGGAATATTTGCATATTACTTGTTTATTACTCCATGGAACAGTAACGAACCCCCTGAACCCTCTCTGGATCCGCCAATGGCAATGGGGGACAGAATGTAAGCCTCTGTGCCAGGACAAACATCGGTCTGGCCCTGGCGATGCTCACCCAGCACTGGTGGGGTAGGGGTGGGTTTGGCGTAGGGTGTTAATGGTGCGATTTCTCTCTGACCCTAGGGTCATCACTCACAGGCCTCTATCACTCCAGTGCATGGTGTGTGGGTGATTACCCCCTGGGGATAACAGTCACAGGCCTCGACCTCCCCAGAGTTGGGTGTGTGGGTGATTACTCCCTGGGGGTAACAGTCACAGGCCTCGAACTCCCCAGCGCTGGGTGTGTGGGTGATTACTCTGGTGTGTGGGTGATTACTCCCTGGGGGTAACAGTCACAGGCCTCGAAGTCCCCAGTGCTGGGTGTGTGGGTGATTACTCCCTGGGGGTGTCAGTCACTACTGATCCTTGGTGGATTGAGGGGATCAGTTCACACAGACACCTGTCTGCCCCTGGTGACACTGTCTCGCTGGGGGTAGCTGTCACTACTGATCCTTGGTGGATTGAGGGGATCAGTTCACAGAGACACCTGTCTTCCCCTGGTGACACTGTCTCGCTGGGGGTAGCTGTCACTGGCCTTGGTATCGGTACCTGGTGGAGGGACAGGAGGTGGGGATCAGTACCTGGTGGAGGGACAGGAGGTGGGGATCAGTACCTGGTGGAGGAACAGGAGATGGGGATCAGTACCTGGTGGAGGGACAGGAGATGGGGATCAGTACCTGGTGGAGGGACAAGAGGTGGGGATCAGTACCTGGTGGAGGGACAAGAGGTGGGTATCAGTACCTGGTGGAGGGACAGGAGGTGGGGATCAGTACCTGGTGGAGGGACAGGAGGTGGGGATCAGTACCAGGTGGAGGGACAGGAGGTGGGTATCAGTACCTGGTGGAGGGACAGGAGGTGGGGATCAGTACCTGGTGGAGGGACAGGAGATGGGGATCAGTACCTGGTGGAGGGACAGGAGATGGGGATCAGTACCTGGTGGAGGGACAGGAGATGGGGATCAGTACCTGGTGGAGGGACAAGAGGTGGGTATCAGTACCTGGTGGAGGGACAGGAGGTGGGGATCAGTACCTGGTGGAGGGACAGGAGGTGGGGATCAGTACCTGGTGGAGGGACAGGAGGTGGGGATCAGTACCTGGTGGAGGGACAGGAGATGGGGATCAGTACCTGGTGGAGGGACAGGAGATGGGGATCAGTACCTGGTGGAGGGACAAGAGGTGGGTATCAGTACCTGGTGGAGGGACAGGAGGTGGGGATCAGTACCTGGTGGAGGGACAGGAGGTGGGGATCAGTACCTGGTGGAGGGACAGGAGGTGGGGATCAGTACCTGGTGGAGGGACAGGAGGTGGGGATCAGTACCTGGTGGAGGGACAGGAGGTGGGGATCAGTACCTGGTGGAGGGACAGGAGGTGGGGATCAGTACCTGGTGGAGGGACAGGAGGTGGGGATCAGTACCTGGTGGAGGGACAGGAGGTGGGGATCAGTGTATCTGTCATTGATCTGTCCATGATTTTTCTGTGATTTAAGCCAAGTATTGGACATTCCTATATAAATACACTTCACCTGTGTGTGATTCATTGAAGATAACCTTCCCACCATTATGGTTTGATCACAATACATGATGTTGAAAACATGTAAGGTTGAGACTTGTTGCTGAGAGGTCCGTCCACAGCAGGAGGACACTGTTCTTGTCCTTCTTGACTGGCTGCTTTCAGTTTCTTCCAAATGACATATTGGGTATAACAACTGTTATTGCATAACCTGTGTATAACATATGTGAAGTAATGATGACTTCATACTGCTGGGGACCGCCTCCGTGGTGTAGAGGTTAGAGCATCCGCCTGGAGAGCGGAAGATAGCGGGTTCAATCCCCGACTGCGCCATACCAAAAGACGTTAAAATATGGTACTTGTTGGTCCCTGCCTGGTGCTCGGCATTAATGGATACAACAAGGACTGGTCGGCTCGGAGTCAGTATAATGTGTCTGAGTGGGGTATTTCTGCTTCACTGCAGCATGGTATCTCAGTGGGCTAGCACTATAAAAGCAGCTTCAGTCTAGTACAAGCAGCCGCACATACACATACATATGCATGCACGTCGTCATATGAGCAAAATACTCTCAAGCACGACGTTAAACCCAATTTCACCTCACCTCATACTGCTGGTGTAATACCATGCTATGATGTAATATAGTGTCTTTGTTTCACATAGTTCAGTGGTACCTTTATATACTTGCTGTGGACTCATACCATGCTGTGGTGTCATACCATGATGTGGTGTAATATAGTGTCTTTGTTTCAAACAGTTCAGTGGTACTTTTATATACTTGCTGTTGTGTCATACCATGCTGTGATGTCATACTGTGCTATGGTGTCATGCTGTGCTATGGTGTCATACTGTGCTGTGGTATCATATCATGCTGTGATGTCATAATGTACTATGGTGTCATACCGTGGTGTGGTGTCATACTGTGTTGTGGTGTCATACGATGGTGTGGTATCATACCATGATGTGGTGTCATACTGTGCTGTGGTGTCATACTGTGCTGTGGTGTCATACCATGTTGTGGTGTCATACCTTGCTATGAGGTTATACTTCAATGTTGAGTCATTTAGTGATATGTTGTCACACAGGGTCGAATTACTGCCTGAATCAAGTGACATATTCTGCGACATTTTGTTGAGTACTTCAAGGGCTTCAACAGGGTTGGATGGTAGAGCACTTGTCTGTCACCATACTATCTGTATGTGCTGTTGTTCAAGTAACATTTCATGTGGGTTTGGTTTGAGTTTGTGTCATCACTATCATTGTACTCACATTCATAACCAAGTCAGAAGGATGTATAAAGCAGTTAAAAGTTTCACCGTTTTCTCAAGTGAGTGAGTGAATTAGTTTTATGTTGCTTTTAGTAATATTCCAGCAATATCATGTTGTGGGACACCAGAAATGGGCTTCACTCTTGGTGACATTATACCCATGTGGTAAACTGAACCCGGGTCTTAGGAGTGATGAGTGAACATTTTAACCAACCGCCCCATTTTCTCAAGAGGGAGGAGGTCGGTTGGACTATATTTCTACATTATACTGAAAGCAAAAGTGATGCAGGGGTTATTTTTGACCACAAATACAAACATTCGCTACTGGGAATACCTTGAACTCATCCTTTTTTAACAATGTCAGTTTTCAAGCTTTATGTTAATTGTGTCATGTTATAAGTGCCATATCACCCCTACCCCGTATGTTACCTATGTTACACTGTTTGTGTCTCTTCCTGCAGGTGCCTCCAAGGTGGCCCAACCTGCTCTCAAGTGTCATGGTGTAAATGCCATATCACCCCACCCCCATATGTTACCTATGTTACACGGCTTGTGTCTCTTCCTGCAGGTGCCTCCAAGGTGGCCCAACCTGCTCTCAAGTGTCATGGTATAAGTGCCATATCACCCCACCCCTGTATGTTACCTATGTTACACTGTTTGTGTCTCTTCCTGCAGGTGCCTCCAAGGTGGCCCAACCTGCTCTCAAGTGTCTGGTGTGTGGGGACAAGTCGTCTGGTGTCCACTATGGAGTGCTGGCGTGTGAAGGTTGCAAGGTGAGTCAGCTGTCATACTGAGGCCCTGAGCACCTGTGGTCAGATGGGTGGATTCTCCCTGCACCTGGTTTCTCAAACATCAAGATGATGTAATTGCTAATCTTTTCAAAGCTGGATTAAACCCAGGTCATTTTCTCAGTTTCTCCAACAGGTGATAAGAACTTTGAGAGAATCGTCTCCTCTTTTCCCCACATCTATATGTCATCTTCACATCACCCTCACACACCCTGAAACCACATGCCGGTAACCACCACCCCATCCTTCCACCCCACCTTGCCGAACATATCCACCAACACACCTGACATCCACACCACCCTGCTCCACAACCACACTACCTCACATAACATCCCCACCACTCTACCCAGACATCTCCACTACCCCTCCCCACAACATCTCCACTCCCCTACCCCACATCCACTCAACGGATTCACCAGCATCCCCACTCCCCGATCTGCAATCTGCAACAACCCCAGCACCCCATCCCACCCACCAACCCAAACCATCTTCTACCCTCACCACTTGGCCCAGTCAGGCTGCTGAGGTTGCATCCACTGTCTCCTTTACCACATCTCTCCCTAGCAGCAGCAGCCAACCTGCCCCAGCGGCAGAGTGTGGCTGTAAATACCAGTAATGGCTGGGAGGTTTGTCTATAGATTGTGTCAATTAGTGAAAGTGGATATTGTTAAAACCTCAGTCAGTCCAAGTCTCACACCCGGTTCCGTTTCAGATATTAATTTGGATGAAGAAAGAAAACCATTTATTTGATGATCTGCCCCAAAGCTAGGACATAATTTGTGACGTGAGAAAGTAGTATTGTGAATGCTTCCCATTGATTTGTTTAGGTCTGAATATTGCTCAGCTTCAGGCAGAACTGGGACCTTTGACGAGATTCAATTACCACCATCAAATTACATTATATTACTTACAAGACAATATCACTTTGCCAACAAAAATGTGCTCAGTAAGAACATTAACCCTATGCAGGAGGTACATTGTATTCCCTATGCTGGAGGTCCATTGTATTCCCTATGCAGGAGGTCCATTGTATTCCCTATGCTGGAGGTCCATTGTATTCCCTATGCAGGAGGTCCATTGTATTCCCTATGCAGGAGGTCCATTGTATTCCCTATGCAGGAGGTCCATTGTATTCCCTATGCAGGATGTACATTGTATTCCCTATGCAGGATGTACATTGTATTCCCTATGCTGGAGGTCCATTGTATTCCCTATGCAGGAGGTACATTGTATTCCCTATGCTGGAGGTCCATTGTATTCCCTATGCAGGAGGTCCATTGTATTCCCTATGCAGGAGGTCCATTGTATTCCCTATGCAGGAGGTCCATTGTATTCCCTATGCAGGAGGTCCATTGTATTCCCTATGCAGGAGGTACATTGTATTCCCTATGCAGGAGGTCCATTGTATTCCTTATGCAGGAGGTACATTGTATTCCCTATGCAGGATGTACATGGTATTCCCTATGCAGGATGTACATGGTATTCCCTATGCAGGATGTACATGGTATTCCCTATGCAGGATGTACATGGTATTCCCTATGCAGGATGTACATTGTATTCCCTATGCAGGAGGTCCATTGTATTCCCTATGCAGGAGGTACATTGTATTCCCTATGCAGGATGTACATTGTATTCCCTGTGTACTTACAAGACAATATCACTTTGCAAACAAAAATGTGCTCAGTAATAACATTAACCCTTTGTTAGCCCCTATGCAGCAGGTACATTGTATTCCCTAATTGAGAATGGACATTGTATTCCCTATGCAGGATGTACATTGTATTCCCTAATTGAGAATAGACATTGCATTCCCTATGCAGGAGGTACATTGTATTCCCTAATTGAGAATGGACATTGTATTCCCTATGCAGGATGTACATCGATTCTCTAATTGAGAATGGACATTGTATTCCCTATGCAGGATGTACATTGTATTCCATATGGAGGATGTACATTGTATTCCATATAGAGGATGTACATTGTATTCTGTATGAAAGATGTATATTGTATTCCCTATGAAGGATGTATGTTGTATTCCATATGGAGGATGTACATCGTACTTCCTATGGAGGATGTACATTGTATTCTGTATGAAAGATGTATATTGTATTTCCTATGAAGGATGTACATTGTATTCTCTATATACCAGACACTTTTTAAGTGTGTGTGTTAGGCTTGTTTATCAGACACTATTCAAGTGTTCACCAAAAACTAGTTGTGTGTGTGTGTGTGTGCATGCGTGCGTGCGAGTGTACAATACATAAGTGACTTTCAGTGGAAAAGCAAATAAACTGTTGTCCTTTTACAGAACGGTTTGTTTTGCTTGTTATAGGGATTTTTTCGTCGAGCACTTCAGAATGTTGGTGACCCAGCACGGAAGAAGTGTTTCTACAACAAGAACTGTGAGATAAACATCCAAACACGAAACCGATGTCAGTATTGCCGTCTACAGAAGTGCTTGGCACTTGGAATGTCCAGAGCAGGTAACTTGTGCATTTTGTGCTGTAACTGAGGTTACTAGCAGATAGGCAGATGTTTCAGCCATCAGTGACTGTAATACTGAGAACATCATGAGGATATGTCGGTGTTCAGCTCCCCATGATGGCTGAAAGCCATGCAAGTTGGCCCGTTCTGTTGTAATTTTTCAGTCTTTGTACAGAAAGTAATTGAAGGTCACTGCTGTAAAGTTGACATATTTACTGTTGTCTTTATATCGAGGTGAGGTACAGTGCCTTGGCAGTTTATTGTATTCTCTAGTTATCCCACAATTTATTTATTCATCCTCTAGGTGTAACTTAAACATTTAATCCTCCATGCATTTTTAACTTTCTAATGTTTCTGTTTGAAGCTGCAAAACTTGGCCGTCGTTCTCGGAAGATGCGAGAAATGATCCGAAGTATAGAAGACACCCAGACAGAGCAGGCTCTTCATGGACTATTGAGCCTGAATCCTGAGTGCTCCACGCAGAGCCCCAGCGGCAACCCCGCCCTCAACACCATGGTTATCAGCAGTCTCAACTTCCCCGCAGACAACCAGTCTTCAATGGCTGCCCTCTCCATGCTACTCAAACAGAGACAGAATCTGAACCATCTCATTGGTCAACCCCGTGTTGCTGAACAGTCACTAGAGATGGATAACAGCAACGACCTACACAACAACAGCAACAACATCAGCAGCACCAGCAACAACAGTTTAAGCACCAGCAACAACAGTGTGAGTGAGGCAGAATCCAGCCATCAGTATCACCTTACATCAGAGCATGAGCCACTGATGCTGAAGGTAGAACGGAGGGAGTCAGTGCAGGAACACTTACCTCAGCCGGAACCAGATTACCCACCAAGGTCATCACCACTTGTCTCCAGGTCATCGCCAAGCGTGTCCGACCTGCCTCTGTCCCCACACCCACGTCTCACTATTGCAGAACCAACAGTGAGCGTGAGTACAATTCCCACGACAATCTCACCCCGTTCAGCTGTACCATCTCGTCTCTTGGCAGTGGCATCAATGTCTAAGCCGCAGATACAGCCTCCCCAAAATAGCAGTAGCATTAGCAGCAGCAGCAGCAGCAGTAGCATCTCCAGCACCCACTCTGTGATGGGTTCCCTTCTGCGCACCCCACCGCAGATCAACTACACCCTGCCATCGCTGTCCTCACAGCAGTTCTACATCAAAACTGAAGAAGGTGGTACAGAGTGTGTGATGTCCACTGTTGTTCCAGCAATGACATCCATGCTGCCGCCTGCTGTCTCCTCCAGCACGTCTCTCGGAACAATGGACAGTGCACACAGCCAGCAACCATCTGTGATCGTTCAGAACCTGACACTTGATCTTCGCAAGAAGTCAGAAGAGTTGATTAGTCGTAGCCCAATCAAAAAGCGACCATATTACCCAACAGAAGACAGTCAGACCGAAATTATCCAAAGACATGAATCAATTGAACCCAAAGAAAAATTCCAAAAAGTCAACCATATGGAACAAAACACAAACTTAAGTAAACAAAGACACATATCTAATGACCAGTGGCCAGTGAGGCCCGACACTAACTCTTACCAAGACACCCCCATGACAAGCCACTACAGTCGGGTGTCACATGACCAGGCACCTGTTGAACACACAGCGGTGGTGACACCAATAGTCAACAAGAGTCGGACCAATATATATTCTCGACGGGTGGAAGAGGAAGCTAAACTTACTGTACCAAGCATGATATCCAAAATACAAGAATCGTTTGTGACGACATTTACACTTCTCAAGGTGCGACTTGGAGAGATGTCCCAAAAGCTCCGAGAGTACCAAGGGCAGAACTCCATGGAACGCATGATTGGACGAATTGTCACAGAGCATCTCAACTCTGACAACAAACAGGTGAGCTGTCTCTGTGACTGGCTACGTGTGGAAGGGAGGTAACTCTGCCAGCAACTCTTTAGCTACATGTTCAAAGGGACATAACTCCACCTGCAGTCTGTTTTGGTAGAACTTTTCTGTTACAGTGTAAATGTTGTGAAACACATGGAAAACATGTATAACTGAATTCAGACTGTTAGTATATGTGTTGGCTGATTTAAAAGAATACTTCAATATCATTTTTCATTTATGAGCTTAATACTGATAGGCACACTTTAGATAATGCTTAAGGTAAAATGTGTTCATTGGTGTCTTTACGTTTATACCTCCATTCATGCAAAATGATTTTGAAGTCTGTTTTTTTTTAAATATGTGAGTTAAGTATACAGTGTAATAACACAAACATAAGAATCAGCAGACCATGTGAGGTAATCAGTGGCAAAGGACAGAATCTCATGCAACACAGGCCCCGCCCTCTATATTATCAGCCAATCAAGAAAAGGTAGTTTGAGAGTGTGCAAGGCCTATGTCGGCCTGGTGTATGGGGGATAACAGTTTTAAGGTGAACGAATGGTCTTCTTTGTTATTGCAGCTGTTTGTGACATAATGGCTGTTTCTAGTACTAAGTATTTCAAATTTAGCATGAAAGTGCATGGGTTCTTGTTATAAATATAAGTGAATTCTTTGTAGGATCCCCCAGTGCCCTGATTATATCTACCTTAGCTAACCTTAAGTTTATATGATGACAGGTGTCCCCAACACGACACCTTGCTGTATGGCTGAGTTTGTGTATGACAGGTGTTCCCATCATGACACCTTGCTGTATGGCTAACCTTGGGTTTGTGTATGACAGGTGTCCCAAACATGACACATTGCTGTATGGCTAACCTTGGGTTTGTGTATTGCAGGTGTCCCAAACACGACACCTTGCTGTATGGCTAAGCTTGAGTTTGTGTCTGACAGGTGTCCCTACACGACACCTTGCTGTATGGCTAACCTTGGGTTTGTGTATGAGAGGTGTCCCCAACACGACACCTTGCTGTATGGCTAAGCTTGAGTTTGTGTATGACAGGTATCCTCAACACGACACCTTGCTGTATGGCTGACCTTGGGTTTGTGTATGACACATGTCCCCAACACGACACTTTGCTGTAAGGCTAACGTTGAGTTTGTGTCTGACAGGTGTCCCTACACGACACCTTGCTGTATGGCTAACCTTGGGTTTGTGTATGAGAGGTGTCCCCAACACGACACCTTGCTGTATGGCTAAGCTTGAGTTTGTGTATGACAGGTATCCTCAACACGACACCTTGCTGTATGGCTGACCTTGGGTTTGTGTATGACACATGTCCCCAACACGACACTTTGCTGTAAGGCTAACGTTGAGTTTGTGTGTGACAGGTGTCCACAACACGACACTTTGCTGTATGGCTAACCTTGGGTTTATGTGTGAGAGGTGTCCCCAACACGACACCTTGCTGTATGGCTAACTTTGGGTTTGTTTGTGACAGGTGTCCACAACACGACACCTTGCTGTATGGCTAACCTTGGGTTTGTGTTTGACAGGTGTCCCCAACATGACACCTTGCTGTATGGCTAACGTTGAGTTTGTGTGTGACAGGTGTCCACAACACGACACCTTGCTGTATGGCTAACCTTGGGTATGTGTATGACAGGTTTCCCCAACACGACACCTTGCTGTAAGGCTAACGTTGAGTTTGTGTGTGACAGGTGTCCACAACACGACACCTTGCTGTATGGCTAACCTTGGGTTTATATGATGGCAGGTGTCAGGCAACATGACAGGGGAGATCTGCTGGCAACACTTTCAGCTCCTGCTCAACAAAACCATCCAGGACGTTGTCATCTTTGCAAAGAAGATCCCCGGCTTTGCTGTCCTCGACCAAGATGATCAGATCAGTCTGATCAAGGGAGGATGCTTCGAGGTAATAACTTTGTCCAGTGCTATAACTACAACATTGAAACTTCCTTTATTGTCCATCGCCCTGCAGAGTGAGTGAGGTTTTTCAGCGGCTTTTGGAAGTACTGCAGCAATATCATGTTGGGTCATCAACAAACTTGTAGAAATATAGGTCTCTTGATGTTCTGTGGTACCCCACTGGGTAGTGTTTGTCATGCATATAACCAGGATTTAAAGAATCATCCCAGGCCTCTCCACATTCACAAGACCATATCTACATTCTCCTGTTTACAGGTGGCCTGTGTGGTCTGTGCTCCCTTCGTTGACGTCGACACCAACACCATCTACCTACTGGGGAACAATTCCCTGGTCACTCGCGAGGAGATGAAGACTGGTTTTCCGCTTGGGGAGCATTTTGTGGAGCTTCTGTTCACTCTGTGTATCCGCTTCAATGCCTTCAAACTCCAGGAGTCAGAGAAGTCTCTCTTCAGCGCTCTCGTCCTCATCTCCCCAGGTCAGTCAATACTTGTGTCCCAATGTCTCAGTCTGTTGATGTGTCCCCATGTCTCAGTCGATGTGTCCCTATGTCTCAGTCTGTCGATGTGTCCCCATGTCTCAGTCGATGTGTCCCTATGTCTCAGTCTGTCGATGTGTCCCCATGTCTCAGTCGATGTGTCCCCATGTCTCAGTCGATGTGTCCCCATGTCTCAGTCGATGTGTCCCCATGTCTCAGTCTGTCGATGTGTCCCCATGTCTCAGTCGATGTGTCCCTATGTCTCAGTCGATGTGTCCCTATGTCTCAGTCGATGTGTCCCTATGTCTCAGTCGATGTGTCCCTATGTCTCAGTTGATGTGTCCCCATGTCTCAGTCGATGAGTCCCTATGTCTCAGTCGATGTGTCCCTATGTCTCAGTCGATGTGTCCCTATGTCTCAGTCTGTCGATGTGTCCCTATGTCTCAGTCAATGTGTCCCTGTGTCTCAGTCTGTGGATGTGTCTCTGTGTCTCAGTCAGTAAATGTGTCCCTGTGTCTCAGTCAGTTGATGTGTCCCTGTGTCTCAGTCAGTGGATGTGTCCCTGTGTCTCAGTCAGTGAATTTGTCAATCTGTCTTGGTCTGGATGTGTTAGTGTGGCTTGGTCAGTGCAGGTGTCCCTATCTTCCCAGGTGAGGACGTGCATGTGTCATATCTTCTCAGGTGAGGACGTGCATGTGTCATATCTTCTCAGGTGAGGACGTGCATGTGTCATATCTTATCAGGTGAGGACGTGCATGTGTCATATCTTATCAGGTGAGGACGTGCATGTGTCATATCTTCTCAGGTGAGGACATGCATGTGTCATATCTTATCAGGTGAGGACGTGCATGTGTCCCCAATCTTCCTAGGTGAGTCAGTGCATGTGTCTATCTTGCACAATGCACTACTGTCCAGTTGCTGGGTCCGATGGTTTAAAGGTCACAGATAGATCAATCCTGACAGCAAGGATTCAACTGTCTATTTGAAATACATTTATGTATTATCAATTCAATGGTGAGCTCTCTTTTTGAATCCTACTATTAGTACTAATCGTGTTATGTAAAAAGCATCAGACTAAATCATTTAACAGATTATTTACTAACATATGCAGATTGTTTCCCAAATTATTGCATTCATATAATGCTGCCATTTTCCAAGAACTGTGTAGCAATATGTTGTTGTTGTTGTTGCTGCAGATCGTCCAGGGTTGAAGAACCGTGAGAAGGTGATGAGACTGCAGGAGATGCTGATCCAGGCCCTGGAGGCGGAGATCTCCTCCTGTCACCCTGACGAGGTCGGCCTGTTCCCTCGCCTGCTCATGAGCATCTCCAGTCTGCGGGAGCTTGGTGTGGAACACAGACGCATGCTGGAGTCACTCAAAGGACAAATGAGTTTCCCTCACAACCTGTACGCTGAGACATTCGATCTCATTCCGTGACACTATGGCAACGACCTTGAACCCGGTGACAAGATCAAGCCCATGGCTACTAGTAGCTATTATATAAATACTCTATACCACGGAGGCGCTAGCCATTAATTTATTATTGCATAAACTTTCCATCAATGATAACGAGCTTTAAATGCCTCGTTAAAAAATATTTATCTTGTCTTTCCATTTTGAATATTAGAAATATCTATATATATTATACATATACATTTGAATATATGACTATATTGTATGACCGTCATGTGACACCAGTTGTGCTTTGGCTGCTTCCATCTTCATCTGACACAATGATTGACCTCAGTGACCTTGAAGGTCAAGGTCATGCTTTCTCAAGGCCATGTTGCAGACACGCGTGAGCTTGGTTTGCCGTGGCTAGATGTAGGCAGCATGCATAGTTCTGGCAGCAGTGTGTCGTCATCATGTTCGTCATCATGCCATACCATGGTACAATGCCATATCGTCCACACATTGGGTTACATCCTTCCCATCATGCATATCTGTCCTTGCAGTGCAGTGTTCTTCCCTCCTCACATTGCCTTTGCCATCTTGAGTCACCGATATCCACTGACACGGAACACTGCGTTTGTATAGGCGTGTTCCTTGCAGTTCCGTGCAGTGTATCGAGATGGACCACAATGTTTGTATAATGGATTTTCTATGTTTTGCCGCTGTGTGTCCAGCTGCATCTGCCCCGTGTTTCTTGTGTCAGTACCAGTGTTGTGAGATAGACATTATGATAATCCTGCCATGTGGTGTCAGTCGGTCAGCATAATTTATTGTTATTGTATATTGATGTTGGACTTGGCTTCAAGTTTATATACTTTTACCTATATCTGTTCAGTTGGTGTGAACAACCTATATGCAGTTTGACATCAGTGGCTGACATGATCCACAGACATGGTATGGATCTGCCAAAATATCACATCTTATCATTGTCTTGGGTGTACAGAAAAGAATGCGAATAAGCATGAATGTCATGAATCCAAAATTTTAATGTTGAAAATTACTGAGCACATGCAGTTTGTATTTCTAAATCAACATTGTCTTGCTTACTGCCCGTCTCAGTCACAGGTGATAGTCTTACCTGGTGTTATCGTGTTTGAATCGGTTCATGATATCATCATTATGCTAGTCATACCCAGTGGTATGATGCTACTCACACTGGTTCTATGTTTAGTGGACCTGCAGATATATGGTTTTGTAATCCAGGTAATAAGTTAATGTCTGTTGTACCCGGTGATATGATTGTGTCAAAAAACATCTAATGATATTATGATGCCCTTGCAAGGTAATATCATGCTCGTAACACCCGGTGAAATCATCATGCTTACAACACTCACCAATATCATGCTCATAACATCCAATGAAATCATCATCTGCAACACCCGCTGATATCATGCTCGTAACATCCGGTGAAATCATCATGTGCAACACCTGCTGATATCATGCTCGTAACATCCAGTGAAATCATCATGTGCAACACCCGCTGATATACTCGTAACATCCGGTGAAATCATCATGCATGCAACACCCGCTGATATACTCGTAACATCCGGTGAAATCATCATGCATGCAACACCCGCTGATGTCATGCTTGTAACATCCGGTGAAAACATCATGTTTGCAACACCCGTTGATATCATGCTTGTAACATCTGGTGAAAACATTTTGCTTGCAACGCCCACTGATATCATACTTGTAACATCCGGTGAAATCATCATGCTGGCAACACCCGCTGATATCATGCTCGTAACATCCGGTGAAAACATCATGTTTGCAACACCCGCTGGTATCATGCTTGTAACATCCGGTGAAATCATCATGCTCGTAACATCCGGTGAAATCATTATGCTTGCAACACCCGCTGATATCATGCTTGTAACATCCGGTGCAATCATTATGCATGCAAAACCCGCTGATATCCTGCTCGTAACATCCGGTGCAATCATTATGCTTGCAACACCCGCTGATATCATGCTCGTAACATCTGGTGCAATCATTATGCATGCAAAACCCGCTGATATCTTGCTTGTAACATCCGGTGAAAAAATCATGTTTGCAACACCCACTGATATCTTGCTTGTAACATCCGGTGAAAACATCATGTTTGCAACACCCACTGATATCATGCTTGTAACATCCGGTGAAATCATCATGCTTGCAACACCCGCTGATATCATGCTTGTAACATCCGGTGAAAAAATCATGTTTGCAACACCCACTGATATCATGCTCGTGAAATCATCATGCTTGCAACACCCGCTGATATCATGCTTGTAACATCCGGTGAAATCATCATGTTTGCTCGTAACATCCGGTGAAATCATCATGCTTGCAACACCCGCTGATATCATGCTCGTAACATCCGGTGAAATCATCATGCTTGCAACACCCGCTGATATCATGCTCGTAACATCCGGTGAAATCAATATGCGTGCAAAACCCACTGATATCATGCTTGTAACATCCGGTGAAATCATTATGCGTGCAAAACCCACTGATATCATGCTTGTAACAATGGTGTCATGCTTATAACTGCCGGTGAAAGATAAGTTTGCAATATCCGTTGATATCATGCTCATGAAACCGAGTAAATCATCATACACTTAACACTCGCTGATATTAAGCTCATAATGTCATGGTGAAATCTATCATTACACTATGTTGCTTTAACCATTGCTAATATCATGCAAATTGCTCCTGGTGATATCATGCTGCAGCTGTCACTGTCTTGATGACGCTCTTCACATTAGCCGATGTCGTCACATAACACCTGGTGAGTGTCCCTTCGATGAAATGCTTACCTGGTCTCTTTCCTGCCTCTTGTGTCCTGCTTGCTTAAGCCACTGACCTCATCAGCCTGCTCTAACAACCTACATTTCATATGCAGTTAGTCTCATTATGTATATGTTCCAAGGGTTGTCAACACCATGACATGCTCCTTAGTTTCACCACCATGGTTAACGTGTAAGAACTGCATCATTCAGTCCTGCAACCTCGAACTGACATGGTGTACCTGGAATACTGGGCATCTCACTCACTCACTCTTAAAATGCCATACCCATCCCAATCACCCAGTGATGACCATCGTCTCGTTCTGTCAAGTTACTGTGTCATCACTTACATCACTGCTGCATCTTTGACCTTCATCATGTTGACCTTGTTGACATATGTAACTGGTGTCCTGGAGGGAATCCCTGACCACTGCAATGTCCTGTGTGTTGTCACGTGGGAAACAAATACATGGAAGACGACAGCCTTACCAGGAGCAATACAACGGCTGATAATATATTCGAGAACATGGGTCACTGTCAGGGTGACATTGACAAGTGTTCAGCTCTGTCTCACCAGCATGTTCTATGATATATGTTGATGAAAATGTAAACGTTTGCCATTTTGAATTATTGGTTCTTTTCTGTACATTCAAACTCCAACAGAACCTGTGAATTCATTGAAACTTGTGACTTGTTGAAAACCAGTGAATATTTAGAAACCTGTGACTTGCTTGAAGACCTGTGAAATATTCTTAACCAATGTTATTTACAAAGCATGTTCAAATGTGTATTTTACCCGTAAGACGGTGGTTGGCTGTAGTTTGTGAATTTTCTACCATTTTAAATGACTGTCCCTGTGATTTAGGACCTACTGGATTTAGGACCTGACCAGAGCCCTTTAGTACATGCTTCTGTTGTCTGTGCTGGCTCCAGTGTCAGTGATTAGAGGGTACTGTGTGTGAAGCTATATATATTTTGAGTTTCATAACATGTATAATATTTTTATTGATGAATTTTGTGTAGCCCTGTTGGAATGTGGGGCTTAGTGATTGTACAAGGTACTAGATACACTTGGCTGTATATTGTTTGCATTTTTAACACTTACATGTACCACACTTTACTGATTTATCTATATTTTGTATCATACTATCATTTATTTATTGGTTATGCAAACCCCTCAAACTGGCTGTTAGAAAGAGTCTATCGGTCTTTTCCATGATGCCTCAGTTATGTTCCGGTGTGACTGGTCATTTCCTGTTGGCCAGCTGAACATACCCTGTTCATGCTTCGGAAACAGGTGAGACATCATTAAATATTATTGAGCAATGTTAAAATTTTCAACTTCTTTACAATGAAATTTGTTTAAGGATGGGTTTTCTTGCACCACCTTTTTGGGGGAATTACTAATTTTCAAAAAATGTCTTACATCTGGTGATATCATGGATATTACATCTGTTTTATCATGGCTATAATACTTGGTGTTATATGCTGTGTTATGACTGGTGATATCATTGTTATTACACCTGGTGATATCATTGCTATAACACTCAGTGATATAGTTATTACACCTGGTGATATCATTGCTATAACACTCAGAAATATGGTTATTTCACCTGATATCATTGCTATAACACTCGGTGATAAAGGTATTAAACCTGGTGATATCATTGCTATAACACTAGGTGATATAGTTATTACACCTGGTGATATCATTGCTATAACACTCAGTGATATAGTTATTACACCTGGTGATATCATTGCTATAACACTCGGTGATATAGTTATTACACCTGGTGATATCATTGCTATAACACTCAGTGATATAGTTATTACACCTGGTGATATCATTGCTATAACACTAGGTGATATAGTTATTACACCTGGTGATATTGCTATAACACTAGGTGATATAGTTATTACACCTGGTGATATCATTGCTATAACACTCAGTGATATAGTTATTACACCTGCTGATATCAGTCTGTTAAGTAAACAAGAATCATGCATGAGCAAATCATTGCCAAATACACAAAAATGTGGAGACAGGCCCATCTTTAACAGTACTCAGGCCATCTTTTATTTTACTTTGATAACAGACTAAGGCAGATTTCTTCAGCTGAATACCAGTAAATACCAATAGAAATATGCCCTATTTGAAGCAGTGACGTGAGGGACCAGTCATGTATTCAGGGGTGGAGGATGAAGTAGGGGACCTTTACATGGTGGATCACCCTCCCTGAAATGACAAAATGCAAAAGCACTTTCTATTTCACTATAAAATGTCCATTTTACATAACCCTCCCCAAGAACATGTTTATGCTTTTCTAACCCTACCAAAGAGATAGTAATTTGTTTCAATGACACTTCACTAATTCCCTCACACACTTCCCCACACCCCTGTAATAGATGGCTGTCATCCCGAAGCATCTGTCATGACAGTAAGCTGTTGTATTGTCAGAACTAGAGAAGGAAGCTGAGTTTGCTCATATTACCATAATAGTTGGGTGATTTTAAAACAGAACCATCACCAGGTAGGCTTATGAAGCGGTTCAGGTAGTATGGAAAGGTTGGCCATGCATGGGCCATACAGTGAAGACATCAGTCAGATTGTTAGGATGTATTGAGGCAGCATAGTTCCTGTAGTATGCATATCTGTAGGCGTCAGGGTGGTCCTCCCCCAGTCTGTACTTCCCCTCTCCCACGGCTGCTGGGTGTTGATATGCAAGATGATGGTGCTCTCTACCCCTCGCCCCCCTGTCCAATCTCACTGACCTACAATACCAGGACAACCAGTGACAGATGCAGAAGGTGTGGATTACCTGTTACAGACTGGATAGTTCGCATGACCACAATTCCTTCTTTGTTCACTGTTGTTGAACTTTGACCACAAACTCCAATGAATATCATGGTGGCTCCAGACTGGATACTTCATCATGAAGGCTCCAAACTGGGTACTTCGTCATGAAGGCTCCAAACTGGGTACTTCATCCTGAAGGCTCTTGACTGGGTACTTCATAGTGGTGGCTCCAGACTGGGTACTTCGCCATGGAGGCTCCGGACTGGGTACTTCATCATGAAGGCTCCAAACTGGGTACTTCGTCATGAAGGATCTTGACTGGGTACTTCATAGTGGGTGCTCCAGACTGGGTACTTTGCCATGAAGGCTCCAGACTGGGTACTTCATCATGAAGGCTCCAGACTGGGTACTTTGTCATGGAGGCTCCAGACTGGGTACTTCATAGTGGTGGCTCAAGACTGGGTACTCGTCATGGGGGCTCCAGACTGGGTACTTCGTCATGGAGGCTCCAGACTGGGTACTTCGTCATTAAGGCTCCAGACTGGGTACTTCGTCATGGAGGCTCCAGACTGGGTACTTCGTCATGGAGGCTTCAGACTGGGTACATCATAGTGGTGGCTCCAGACTGGGTACTTCATCATGAAGGCCCCAGACTGGGTACTTCATAGTGGTGGCTCCAGACTGGGTACTCGTCATGGAGGCTCCAGACTGGGTACTTCATAGTGGTGGCTCCAGACTGGGTACTTCATCATGAAGGCCCCAGACTGGGTACTTCATAGTGGTGGCTCCAGACTGGGTACTCGTCATGGGGGCTCCAGACTGGGTACTTCGTCATGGAGGCTCCAGACTGGGTACTTCATAGTGGTGGCTCCAGACTGGGTACTTCGTCATGGAGGCTCCAGACTGGGTACTTTGTCATGGAGGCTCCAGACTGGGTACTTCATAGTGGTGGCTCCAGACTGGGTACTTCGTCATGGAGGCTCCAGACTGGGTACTTCGTCATGGAGGCTCCAGACTGGGTACTTCATAGTGGTGGCTCCAGACTGGGTACTTCATAGTGGAGGCTCCAGACTGGGTACTTCATAGTGGTGGCTCCAGACTGGGTACTTCGTCATGGAGGCTCCAGACTGGGTACTTCATAGTGGAGGCTCCAGACTGGGTACTTCGTCATGGAGGCTCCAGACTGGGTACTTCATAGTGGTGGCTCCAGACTGGGTACTTCGTCATGGAGGCTCCAGACTCATGCTCATGAGAACCTACTAAGCTCATTCCTTAATTCTTAGGACATCTAATTAATGCCCAGGATTTGATGTGACTATTTATTTGGCCATACACATCCTAGCTAACCTCAGTCAACTTAACTTGATTAATAATACTGCTTGTCAAAATACTGGAGACCTAATGGAGGTAACTCCAAATGCTTCAGAGTTGTAGTGATGTGTATCTGTGTGGGTTCGAGTGCATCATGTGTGTCTATATATGTATTTGTGTATCATGTTCATGGTTGAAGTGTTCTTTCTTCCCAGGGCCTCGTGCCCAGCTCACTCTAGTGTAGTGTACTATGCAACAATGTGCCCCTTCATCTCCACTAGGCTGCCACACGATCTATCTACTTACGCCATTCCTTACAGTAAGGAACATATTCCTTTGTCATATCAGGGCTCCAGGGGAATAGCGTAGATTAAGAAGACATATCCCATTAAAGAATTAATGTGCAAAAAATGTTTGTACATTTATATGTGTATTAAAAGACAATTTCCACATGTCAAGGAGCTGTTGATATTGGTTACCAAATCTGACAAATAATCTGTTAGATTTCTGGCCAAAAGTTGGTACCATATTAACATTTAATTGTTTTCCAGTTACTGTATATGTATTTTGACATTAGTGTCGTTGTCAGGTCCAAGTTAGCTGCATTTGTTAGTTCAAGGTGAACCATTGTCTGAACCATTCAGAAATCAACTGTATCATCTGTCTCTGGCTTGTACACTCATCACAGTATGTGGCAGTGTCTGTCATCCTCCCTGGCTTGTACACTCATCACAGAATGTGGCAGTGTCTGTCAACCTCCCTGGCTAGTTGCATCTATGCGGACAGGTTTCGGTTTGCTATCATCCCAGCAGTAGTTTGTGGCTTGCCATCAGAGGATGAAGCTGCTGGGTTACTTTCTAGCAGAAACTGGCGTTTGTTTCCTACCTACCTGAGGCCTGAGATTCTGTTGCATTATAGCAGAAGGTGGATGCTTAGTTTCCTCCATGGATTGGCTGAAGGACTGGTTTCTGCGGAGCAGTGGCTGAACGATTGGTTTCTGCGGAGCAGTGTCTGAAGGATTGGTTTCTGCGGAGCAGTGTCTGAACGATTGGTTTCTGCGGAGCAGTGGCTGAACGATTGGTTTCTGCAGAGCAGTGTCTGAACGGTTGGTTTCTGAGGAGCAGTGTCTGAAGGATTGGTTTCTGCGGAGCAGTGTCTGAAGGATTGGTTTCTGCGGAGCAGTGACTGAACAATTGGTTTCTGCGGAGCAGTGGCTGAACGATTGGTTTCTGCGGAGCAGTGGCTGAACGATTGGTTTCTGCGGAGCAGTGTCTGAACGGTTGGTTTCTGCTGAGCAGTGTCTGAAGGATTGGTTTCTGTTTAACAGTGTCTGAAGGACTGGTTTCTGTTTAACAGTGTCTGAATGTTTAGTTTCTGCTGAAAAGTTGCTGAAAGACCGATTTCTGCTAAGCAGGGTCTTAATGCTTGCTTACAAAGGTAAATATGTAGGTGACAATGAAAGGAGGTATCCTTCAGGTCTTTGAGATGTTGGCACTTTACAGAATTGCTAGAGGTACAGATGTTAACAAAGACGTTATTAATTCTTGAAATATTTAAATTGATCATTGCTGGGGCATTGATGAATGGTTGCCGTGGACTATAAGCAGCTAGTTGAGTGACCCTGTGATGACACTTCTAGGTGCTATCAGATCAAAGAATGCATACCATGCTTCATATGTTGTCTGTACCCAGCTCCTCCACATATTGCTGTCGTCAGCCTCCTGTAACCAAGGAGACGGCACCCTGGGTTCCTCCTAACCACCATATGCTACACAGCTCTTTTCTTCCTCTGTAGTTCACTGCATCATCACTAGAGGGCTCTCTTCAAGGGAGATAACCTCATGTTTACAGGACTTTGGGTCCTAGATCCGGTGAATATTGTTGATCGATGTTTTTGTTCCAAGGTTTTGTTTTATTGCAGAATTAAACCGGTTGATTGACAACCCACAGTAGAGAGTCAGAACAACACCAACAAACTTTGTTAATTATTAAACTTTGTTAATTCCATGAGCAACATTTTCTGAGTGTTGTTCCTGCTTGTGTATTGCCATTACTGCACATGACAGTATTTTGTGTACCCTGATTTTAAGGCTATTTATGATGTATATGGTTTTATCATATCGATTGTTAGGTATTCGATTGGCTCCAGCTTAAGTTGTACAGATTTACAGTTACTGGATTAAATAGTTTGATACAACATTATGTCATATTAAAGGGACGTGGTCAGAGTTGCACAGGATATTATGTTATAGGTAATAGAGGATGTATTCATGGTCACTTCTTTTGCCATCTTATTTCTGCTGCAAAGTATGTTTAGTTCAAAAGATAACATACTGAGTGGGACTCAAGATTAGATATTGTTCTGGCACACAAATGTCTTCACAGGGACGCGGAGCATTACCTTACATTCTGTAACTTTCTGGAAAAATATTTTACATATTTATTCAACATTTTTATAGTATTTAACAATTGTTACTATGTATGTTTAATTTAGTTGTTAAGATACTAGCCTACAGCGATGTATAACAGCAATCAAGATGACAAAATTCTGCTCCTCACAGGGATGCCTCACATTTCCTATGCTGAATGTTTAGCGAGGGTGTCATGAGCTGCTGTGGAGTATTTAACCATCTGGCTATTGAATGTCTTTGATCTGCAATATGTTTTGTTATCTTTGAAATATCTGTTACATTCTTGATTGAGACCTTTGTTGGGTGTACCTTTTGTACACTATCTAATATTTTCCTGTGTGTTTGTATATAGAACTCCGAGAAAAAGGATCAAGACTTTGCAACTCTGACCTTGTCCTTAGTTGAAGGTTTTACAGAATGTACTGATGGTGTGCAGACTCTGTCTACACATACATACATCTCAGTCATTATCTGGGATTTTAACATTGGTGTAAT